TAAAAAGTTAAAAAATTAAATTAAACTTATTAAAAATAATAATAAAAAATAATGTAAGAAAGTACAACAATTACACCATCCTTGCACAAATATAAAAAATTCAAAATTAAAGAGGAAAAACTAACTTCCATTTACAAAAACGACCTTATAAGCAACACTAATTCTCAATGTTCTTTCGAGGAAACAAGAACATTATGAAGGGCAATGCACGTAATTTTAACTAACACTCCCTCTTGCCTGTTTCCAGTTTCACCACGCTTTCTGCACGCAACAAACTAACCAACCATTTCCCCTCTCTTCCGCTTTGCTTAAACCCTAAGATTCTCTCTCATGGATCTCGAGGTTGAATTCATACAGAAAAATGAAGAAAATGTGAACCCTCCCCCAATCCAAACGTACATTCTTCTTCTCCATCTCTCCATCTTTTTTTTCCTTTTCTCTTTCTCTGAATCTTGAAATGCTCATGGGAATACAAGTACATTTCGCGTGTGTTGTTGTTGTTGTTGTTATCTCTCTGGTGTTTGGATCGTTGAACTCGAATTCTCTTCCGTGCGATGATGCCAGATGCAGAACCGAATCGTGTAACAGCTCCGGCGACTGCATTTGCGATCTCCCCGATCCGTCCACCGTGTTAGACGGAAATCGTACTTTTCTCGGGTAATTGATTAAAAATGTGCGTGCGTACATTTGAATTAGTTTGGATTGTTTCCAGATCTGAAAGTAAGGATGGATGTTGTTTGAGTGCAGCGGGGAGTTTTGCGATGAAGAAATGACGATGTGCGACGGGACGAATTCGTTCTGGTGCGAACACGGTGGCATCTGCGAAGAGATTGTTCAGGGAGAGAACTACACCTGCAACTGTCGGCCAGGGTTCACCGGACAACACTGCGAGAATTCCGGCGCTCCTTGTGGTCCGATATTCTGTTTCCACGAGGCGGAGTGCTTGGTTGAAGGCCATCTCTGCGAGTGTCCGCCGCAGTGGAAAGGAAGCGTGGATTGCTCTGTTCCGACGAAACCAAAAATCGGTAGCCTTCCTTTCTTTCCTTCTTTTTCTCCTCTGTTTCTTCTATTAATATAACATCATATAAGTTTGATTCTGTTACTTTAACAATATATAATTAATTCTTTCAGATTCTTCTTCTTCAAGTTCAACCGTGAAGAGATTGGATCCTGCAGGAAATAGTACTAATCACAGTAACAATGTACGTGAGGATGATTAATTGATCTTGATAATTTTCTCTTCATCCAAACAGGAAACTTTAATTGATGATGTATGCTAATTTATTTTACGCAGTGGGTGGTGGTGCTGGTGGTTTTGTTTTCAGTAGGAGCAGTTGCAGGGGTTGTTTTTTATGTGAACAACTTATACAATAGAAGGAAAGAGGGAGCTCAGAAATTCCAGCCACTGTCACACATGCAAACGGAGGAGTACGATGAAGGCAATTCTCTGGTTTCTGGTAATTCACAACTTTGAAATTTGTAGAGTATTTCAACTGGTATGGAAAATCTCTATTCTGCTTGTAATCATAATACCAAAATATGAAGAACTTTCATCCAATCAAAAATCAATTGGTAAAAAGTAGGCTAATTTTTTTTATATTTAACTTATAAATTTTTTGTTATATACTCAATGTGAAATTTTTTTCACTCGACAAATATATTTGATGAAACCACTAAACTAGTTACTAATAATCATCCTATATATATGCTGATGATATTGTTTGGTAAATGCAAATGAAGAGCAAATTTTTTCCAGTGGAAAGAGAACAAAACGCAAGCAACATAATAGAGTTGTTGGTTGTTTAAGAGACAGAACAAGTTAAATTTCCCTAACATAGTAACATCCCTTTCTTAATTTGTTGTCTGTCCTTGAATAAGTTATTGAATAAGTCAAGAGGCCTTTGTGAACTAAATAAAGTTGCCATGAAGAACAAAAGTTACACTGTGCGCTTTAAAAAGTTCGAAGGGTATTGTCACAGGAAAAGAATATATTAATGATAGAGTTCTGAAATGTATTTGTACTTGTGCCCTGTGCGTTGTTTAGTGTTTAGTGTTTACATAGGATACTGGTTATTCAACAAATAACACTATGTTTACTTTAATGAAGTGATAATTTTTTTTAATGGCAAAAACTCTAATGTAATCATTGTTCTCCTCCCTTTTTCTCTTGGAAATAAAGTTTATTTTTTCTAGTACTGTATGAGCCAACAGAGTAATTAGGAAAGGCAAAAGAGTTGTTTACTTTTCTCCTATAGTTCAGTCCATGGTTCCAAATTGGGAAGATCCCCTGACGTTTAATTCCCAGAGTCAAATTTCCTAGATAATGACCGATGAACAAAACCCTACAAACAGGAATTGAAGGGGAATTTTTATCTTTTTTGAACAAAAGAATAAGGAGGGGATCAAGGAGGGGAAAAGCTATGATTTATGATGCCTTTTGTATTATTATTATTTTTTTTAAAAAAAAAGGGGTGCAAGTATAACCCTGACAGACGCAGAGGCATACCCCACAGTGACACGGTCAGTGTTGGGGTACGGTCATTTTAATAGAGTAGTCATGCAAAAGCACAGTCAGCACCTTATAACCTGTATCCTTTTGCTTTTGCTGTGTCTGCGCGCCAGGAGGGGCGTGTGTCCCTTCCTGGCTGAAGAAGTCTGTTACGTCCCCTGCCACTGCCTCTACATACAAACAAATCAACTATTCCTCTTATTATAATTGAAATATACAGTTTTTTTTTTTTTTTTTACACAAACACAATATACACAGACAATACATCAGTACAATAGAGAGCTCAAGAGAAAAAAAGGGGGGTAAAATGTAAAATTTTACACTCATCCAGTAAGTCAGTGGTGCAAAAACAGCACAGTTATTATTATTATTATTTTATTAATGAAATCAGAGTTATTTGTTAGGTTGCTACTGTATCTTTATAACAAAGAACAAATGAAGGATGTCTGAATCAATCAATGTTTCAGGATGATCTCTCTGCATGGCAAATCCAAGATTCCAAACCCCATTTGGAGGCAAAAACTCTAGACATTGGGGAAGTCGTCCTTGGTTTTTGGTGAAACCCAGAATGCAATGTCTGACATTAATTCGCATGTATGTTGCCAAGGAGTGCCAATTCAACAATTCTAATCTCAAAACTTTATCATGAGATGAATCCTGTTGTTCCCTTCCTTTCAAAATACAAGACCTCAAAAATTTTAAAACTCTATCTTATAACTAAACCATACTTAAATGTGAAAAAAAAAAAATTTATATCCATTAATTTAGAAAAATATCAGTAACTTCACTTATTCTTATTGTTATTATTTGTACATATATTGCCAGTCTTATGGTTAGGGTGACTGGTATCAAAGGATGATAGCACATAATCTAATTGTTTGGGCAACTGCATGGGTTCGTGCACTGTTAAGATCTTGAATTATTCTGTTATTTAAAAGTTTCAAAGAAGTATAATAGGAAAAGACACTCTAACACTTAAATTAATAATATTTAATTATAAATTTTATTGCCAAAATAAGATTTAAAAAGGAAAGAAGTAAACTAATATGTAATTATTGGGTATCTAAAAATTTTTGCACTTTTAGATAATACTTTTTATAATTTAAAACTCACAAAAAAATTTAAAAATTAATAATCAAATCTTTTATTTATAAGTTAATTTTATTAGTAATTTTTTTTATAAGGGCAATAGTTAAAGGTTAGCATATTAGAGGTATTAGTGAGGACATTGAACTCGAGACTTAAGAGTGTAAACCACGAGTTGCCCTTTAAGACAATAAGTGATCACTGGGTCACGACACGTGAATTGCAATTTTATTAATAATTTGATTTATTTTTTTTTGTAAATTTTAAAGTATAAAAAAATATTAACCATAAAAAACTAAAGAGTTTAGAGATTTTATTTAGTCCTTTCATCGTATTATCAATCATTTATTAAACCAATAAGAACCGACCATTTGTTAAGAACAAGTAGGGAAGCCGGGACCAGGACCTCCCAAGTACATTCACAAATCTCATTTCCATGTGGGCCTAACCTGCGTGCCACTTCCTCTAACCGCGCGTGGGTTAGGGATTGTGTGATCCACGCTCCTCCCCCACCCTTCCCTGTTCCCTCTGTTCTAGGAAGTGAAAGATGTTAGGTTTCCCCTATTTAATCCTTTTATTTAAATCTATCCTAATTTACCAAACCACCCCTCAACCCCTAACTCCCTCTTGGGGTAATTATCACATAAGGCAAACACCATCAATGTTAGCCACTCCCCAATTTGACCTTTCCTTTTTTTTTTTTTTCAACAAGTACTAAATCTCCCATTTGACTTTGTGTTTTGTAAAATATTATCAAAATAGTATATGGTCTCTCAAAAGATAAAAAATAGTACATAAATTGTCTATAAAGAATGATATAAATATAGAATTACAATATAAATTAATTGGTTTTAAAGTTATGATGTATTTTGTTTTTATTAAAAAAATATAAAACTAATTTTAAATTATATATTTTAATCATTAAATAAAAACAAGTTTTTTTATATTGAGAATTTAATTTTTATTAAATAATTTTTATTTTACAATGTAATATAATTTACATTATAAAATATGAAATTAAAACTTCATAGATAATAATCTAAGTGTCAAACATTCCCACATTGTTAACGTACTAATTAAATTCTTTGGTCTCATAGTTAAATCAAAATATTTGATATTATAAATGACATAATTCACTAACAACTTGTTAATATAAGTGAAAATATGTTAATTTTTTAAAAATAAAATTTTAAGTACAAGTCTTATATACAAAAGAGACTATTAGAGAACTCTTTATAATGTTTTATGCAATTCAAATTTAAATTAATTAAAATTTAATATAATTTTCAAATAATAAAAATTTTTAATAGCAAACAATAAATAACATAATTCATTCATGTTACCCACGAAATCAGTATCTTTAGTAATTGCTAATTTGATTTTCGAGTATGAAGGACAAAATAAATAAATAAATAAAAGGATTCGCATTTTGAGAGGGGGGAACATCAGGGGATGGTGGGGGAGCCACTCAATTGCGGCTTATGGTGAGGACATATCACAGTGGATAACTTACCCACTTGAAAATTTTTTTTTTTATTTTAATTGTACGATAAAAAATAATTATTTTTTATTTTTTATCTCATTCAATTCGCATGTCATATAACATAAAATTAAGATATCTTATTTTAAAACAATAATAATAATTATTAAATTATTTAAATAATTGTTCACACTTCAAAAATTAAAATAATTTGCTTTGGACAAATGATGATGACGTGTAACAGTAGCAGCTTTCTTTTCAACCCGATATCCATTTTCGCAAATAAAGTAATGCCTAGGGGCAAAATCGTCCAATAAGAAAACGAAACATATGAAGGGCCGAGAAAGCAACAGAAAGTTTAAGAAACCCTCTCATTATCGAATTCTGTGAGATCTGCACAAAAAAAAAAAAGAAACCACCGTAGTCGCCCACCTTCCGAAATGAGGAGCTCCTCAGAGATTAAGCCGCCAAGTATGTAGAAATCTTGAAGAAGAAATTACCAAATCGTTTTCGTTCTCAATTTGTTTCTTTCTATCCCTTGGTTTTTATCTGTAAAATTTTTCTGGGTCTCCGTCGATCTTCTGTTTTTTTTTTTTCTCTGGTTTTTCGGTGGAAGGGAAACAAAAAAAATATGAGGATTCGGAAGAACGCACAGCTTGGTTTGCGGGGCCTTTCTCAGGGTTCTGGGTTGCCGGTCCGTCAGGCGCACGCGTGTCAGCTGAACCAGTCGCCATGGGATGTGATGTCGTCGTTCGGCGAACCAGAGGGAAACGGTCGCAACCCATTGCTTCCTCTCCAGGTTAGTGCTCTGTTCTATTTTTCTGTTTTTTGTTTTTTCCCAGTAGATCTATGGGTACCATTTTCGTTTTTGCTTCCATTTTTCCCTACATTTTATCCCTAGGGTTTTCCCATTTTAGGGTTTCGCCAAAAACCCTAAATTCCGTTCGTCCTACTCGTGTGTTTTCGTCCCAATAGTCGATTAGGTTAATGGGTTTTTGTCATTTTCACTTATTATGTTCTGCCTCGGGTTTTTATTCTTCTGTTCTCTTCGTTTTTTAAACCAGTTCGAAGGAGAAGATAGCCTCATCGGAAATGGTAGTTTAGGCGATTCTATGGGCGCTGTTGAGAGGTAACCCACTTCATATCCTCAATTCGATTCCTTTTATCGATTTGGGTCGTTGCTTTTTTTTTATTAGGGTTTTTGGGTTTCGTCTCGAAATAGTTGAATGATATATTTAAAATTATCCAAAATTTGGGAGCATTACTACTCAGTTTCTGTTTGCTGTTGTTGAAATGTTCAGCGTGGCCTCTATGATAGACTCCGATGAGAGGGCTGCTGCTGATGTGGGCGGGTTGGTTATTGACGATAATGATACGATCAAAGTGTTTGGCGATAATGAAGAGGACAAATTTGGGCTCGAGAGTGAAGATAGAAGGCATGAACAAAATGAAGCTACAAAAGGAAAGAGAGTAACGGAGAAGCAAGCGCCTTTGAGCCGCCGCGGTCGACCAAGGTCGGTAAAAAGAGGTTCTTCATCAACTAATTCGAACCCATATGAATTTTATTATTATTCCGGGTTTGGACCCTCGTGGGGCAAGCGAAGAGGTGAAAGAGGAGGAGGTGTTGGTGAAGTCATCAGCAACAATGACACCAAGGAAGTTGAGCATAATGGCACTAGTAGTACTCATCAAAACAATACCTCCTCTTCTTCATCCTCTCAAATCAATGGTAATACTGAAGAATTCGATTTCATGGACGACGAAGATGATGAAGAATACGAGGAGGATGATGGGAGGAGGAAGAGAATGAGGAAGCCAGTGAAAGCGAGATCGTTGAAGTCCCTTATGTGAAAAAAAAGAAAAAAGAAAAAAAAAAAGATGGGTGACCACAAGAGAAATAATTAGGGAGCTTAGATTTATGTTTTTGTTAGTTTGTGTTAAGATTAATGTATTTTTGTAATTTTTCTTTTATGGTGAATGTTTTTTTTAGTGTTGGTATTGGGAGGGAGAGGGAGAGGGGGTGAGGATGGGATTTGCCCAACGTGACATTGTAGGGGGGGTGTTGTGGACGGCCGGGTTGTCGGGTTAATCCCATGGAAGCCGAAGGGCAGTTTTGTAAATCCGCAAAGTGTTGGATCTTTTGTTCTTATGCTCGGATTACGTGGCAGTCACCGATTTCTCGTGTTTAATTTTTAACTTTGTAAAATATATTTTTATTAAAAAAATATTTTTTTATTATTTTTTAAAAAAATTAAAATTATGTTATTTTAATAATTTTTTGATACATCTAATTATAAATTATATAAAAAAGATAAATTTTTTTATTTTTAAATATTTTTTCATTTAGTTCAAAATTTAAATTTGAGATTTTTAATTATTAAATTACTCTATTAAGGTATTTTAATAAATTTTTATTTAAAAATAAAATAATTTATTTTTAAAATGAAATTAAATTTATTTTTATAATATTTCAATAAATATCATAATTTTAAAATATTTATCTATTAAAAATGTTTTTTTTTTAAGCTGACGGGCCAACAGTTATATCTTTTTTTTATTCTTGAGGATTATTTTTTTAATATAAAAATAGATTCCTAGCCCATGCAACCTCATATGATATAGGGGTAGGCTCAAGCGCACTTCAGCTTTTTGTTTTTTTTGTGTTGCCCATATGATTTTGTGGTGCCCATCATTTGATCCAGAATCATGTGGGGCTAGGGTTACCAAAATTTTGGAATTGACAATTCCAAATCCAATGGAATTTTAATTTTTCCCAAATTTCCTCCATCCAAATATCCTAATAATTTCCTGGCCTATTTTCAATTAAAAACCTCAAAAATTGAAAATTTCTACCTAACTTTTTTTTTTCCTCGGATGTTTATATATATCAAGAAATTTGTCTTTTATTGAGTTCTTTTTTTACTCGTTTTAAAGATTTTAATTAATGTGAAATCTTTAAATTAAAATATCAAATTAGATCCTCTCATTCTCAATCCTATAAAATGAAAATAACTAATATAGTGAGGCTTCTGTAAAAATAGGAAGAAAGAGAGGTAAAAATTGGATTTCAAATATAAAATTCTAATGATTTATCTTCTAAAAAAATTTATAAATATGACTGTATATCTATATTATAAGATTTGCTCAGTCACATTCTAAAGGAGATTGAGTGTCGTGAAGTTTTCATTTGCAAATTATATAATAATAATAATAATAATAAAATAGTTACCTCTTATTATTATAGTAAAACTAAAAAAATTTATATTTAAATTACATAGTATACAAATGAAGTAATTTAAAAGAAATAAAAATTTACTTTTTATTATACAGTTTAATATATATAAAAAACAATAAGATAGTTACCATGGTTTGCCTGGAAGAATTTTTTATATCTGGATTGTAGTATAAAGGAAATTTTTTCTATCTTCAAAATGGGGGAGTGCCGGAAGAAGTTGTCCCTGGTATTCGAACCCAAAATTTCGAGGTTGAGGGGCAACCACTTACTGACCCACAGAATCCGACCAATTTAACGTGGATAAGGTTTTTGTCGGTGTACAAATACAATTTTAAAAGTACAAAAATAATAAAGGTAAAATGAAAAATTAAAATATTTTATTATTAAAAATATTATAAAGTTTGATCATAATTATTAAATATATAAGGTATGATGTGAATTTTAATTTTATCAAATTTAATATGTGATTATTATTAAATATTTTAATATTTTAAATATTAAAATGTCATAATTTTTTATTTTTCCAATAACAAATGACAAATATACAAACAAACTAAAAATCAAACCGTACAAGCGGCACTTCAACTCACGACTTCAAGACACCACTTAAGAACAACTGACTTGGGCCTCCAGTTTAAAACATTAAAAAAAAAAAAAGACTCCATTTAAAAAATTTTATACTAATTTATATCTTTCTATACCAGGAAAGGTGGAAGTTGTACCTCAGCACTCTAGATTATAGAACATGCACTTTAATTATCTCAATAGTAGATAATGAATTAGCTAAAGTCTCAATTATTTAAAGACATTTCATGATAAGTTATATATATATACATATATTAAAAAAAGATATTTTTTATTTTTAAAATTTTTATCCAACTTATTCAAGACAAAAAAAAAAATTTAATTTAATTAACTATTACATGAATAAGTCATACTTATTCTTATAATTTGAATTCTTCTAGTGTACAAGGAAATCAAAGAAAAATTTTTAAAAAGATGTTGGTTAAATATATGGATAATATTTCTTAGGAAGAAAAAAAGAAAGGGAAATCATTAATTATGCTTAAGTTAAAAGCAAAAGAAAAGGTGACTAACAAGCTACAATTTAATTTCAACTAATATTTCAGCATCCAAAGGCTTAAAGAAACAAAGAAAATGTATTTTTCTAGTTGAAGTGGAAGATTGAATAATATATTCTAAAATTTTCTATTTACGGGTGAAAGGTCCTTTATCTTGTGCATTGTATCGCTTTCAACCCAAACTAAATATTTAAAAGTGACAACTTAATATTGACAGCTGGTTTTTCTTAGAAAAATAAAGGGGGAAAAAAAAATATTCTCCTTTTGTTATTGCACGCACCTGAGAAGCGCGTGTACCATAGAGAAACCGTCTTGTTGTACTGTGCTATAAATTAAGGCAGTGTTTGGTAACTTTTGTTGGTGAAAGTGGGAGGAAACGCCTGGATAAATTTTTACCGGCAAGTAGAATGTCGGATGGAAAATGATTTTGGAATGATTTTGAAATCATTTTTTTATATTGTTTTTTTATATAATTTAATATGTCATCTAAATAATTAATTTTTTTATTTATATGAGACTTATAATATTAAATATATTTATTTATTTAAT